TCTTCTTCTTCTTCTTCTTCTTCTTCTTCTTCTTCTTCTTCTTCTTCTTCTTCTTCTTCTTCTTCTTCCTCCTCCTCCTCCTCCTTCCTCTTCCTCTTCCTCTTCCTCTTCCTCTTCTTCTCTAAAATGTATTTGATACAGGATCTCACTATGCAGCTCAGACTTGTAGTGATCCTCCTGTTTTCAGCCTCCCCAGCTCTGGGATTATAGGTGTGTGCCACCAGACCCAATCTTGGTGGCCAGCTCAGTGCACCAAGGGGGAGGGTCTGGTACTGCATGTGGTGCCTGGGATCAAACTCCAGTCCCTGTGCTTGCCTAGATAGGCGTTTAGTCTGCTGAGCTATCTCTCTGGCCCCTCCCAGGACTTCCTGAAGGGTTTAGGGGACTGCTCCACCACAGTGTGTGCCTGGCTGACAGAGGGATGGGCCCTGGACATCTTCCGGGAACCCTGTCTGGGGTGCTTGGAAGGGGCCCAGTGGTGCCCTTCCCACAGAATTGTTTCAGGATCCTGGCTGAGGGGCACTGGTGGCAGGAGAGGGCGTCTGTCTCAAGAGATGCATGGGAGCGACACTGGCTCAAGTTCTCGGAGTGGCACCAGGGATTTAGGACCAAACTCTGGGTTCCCAGATCTCTCTCTCCTTGGTGGCTCCCCATTTAGACTAAGTCACCCTGAGCTGCATCCTTCCTCCTGTGTTTGCTTTAGGAGTCCGTGCTTCTGAAAGGCTGGCTGAAATCGACCTGCCTCACCTGCTGAAATACCAGCCCATTATGCGGACAGTCGGCCAGAAGTACTGTGTGGATCCTGCAGTGATCGCGGGGGTCCTGTCCAGGGAGTCTCTCCGAGGCAGGGTTCCAATCAACATGGGCATGCCGATCAACATACCGCAGGTATCTCTCCATCGGTCAGTGTCACGTGTGACCTTTCTGTGGCTGACACACGTCTAAGGACACACCTGCCTGTTTTCTTGTTGTCGACGGCACAATTCCTTAGAACACACCACAGGTAGTGCTGCCTGGGTCTGGGAGGTTCTCAGTTCTGCCTAAAAGATACCAGCAGCACAATTTCTCCTTGCTTAGAGCCACAATTTCTTTTCAATGAAACAATGCTGTATTCTCAGGGCACCAGCCAGGGCACCCTATTCTGGATTTCCAATAAGGCAGTGGTCTGGAGAACATTCTTACTGCCAAGCTGAAATGTCGTGCATGTTAATAGTAGCTCTCCATCTCCCGTTCCCCCAGCCTCGCCTAGAACCCCATGCTGCTCTTCGTGTGTGTGTGTATTTGACTATTTTAGATCCTGTCCATGAGTGAAATCATTGTGCTATTTGGTTTTCATCTTCCTGTAACTGGCTTATTTCGCTTAGTATGGTGTCCTCCGGTGCTATCTGTATATTGTCCCTGTTACAGAATGGCCTTTTTTTTAGACCCAGCAATCCTCCATGGCGTGTTGATGCCGGCTTTGCTCTGTTCCTTCATCTGTCAAGGACACGTCTCTGCTTCTGATGCTTGGCTACCACACAGAGCTCTGAACAGAGGAGTGCTCATGTTGTTTTGAGATCCCGATTTTAATTATTTTGGATAAATACCCAGAGACAGGGCTGCTAGGTCACATGCACTTCTGACCTTAATTTTCTGAGGACCCTCCATACTGCTTCCCAGGGTGGCTGTATCATGTTTCATGCCCAAGAACAACACTCAGGGATTCCAATTCCCTCACATCCTCTCTGACACTTAACTTTTGTGTCTCCTAGAGTGGCTTTTCTCTTTAATTCCCAGCAAGATCAAAGGTGGAATAAAAAGAACAGAGAGGAAAGGAAAGAAAGACACTGAGCGCACAGCATGGTGTCACCCCCCCGCCACCACCCATTTTTTCCTCTGCCTCTTGGCCTCTAGGATACAAATGCTTTTGCTCCCACATCCTGGATCAGTGAGTCCCAGGTTTCCCAGATGACCAACGTCCTGACCAGTACAATCAAAGAAATCCAGAGGACATTTCCAACCTGGACCCCTACCCAGTACCTGAGAGGTATGTGTAACCCCTTGATCAATTGCTTCCCAGAGTGGAATTCACAGATAAACTTCATATCTCGCTCCACATTTATTCAAACCACTGTTGCCTGTGGCAAGGCAGTCAGGAAAGAGAATCTAAGGTGGTTTTTTGTTTGTGTGCTTGCTTGGTTTTTTTCCATAATTTTATTGATAAACAAATAGCAATGAGACAGTTTCAAATCAAATCGCTAGGACAGTTTCAATAACTAACACACTGCATACATTCTTCTTAGTGGTTAATTGCTGTACAAGATGCGGACTTGATATCCTATTTACAAACACCACTAGAACAAATCATTCTATTCATTAAGAGAATGTAACTATATATCTATCCTAACCACTTTGAATACACAGATACCAAATGGACATTCATCTGTATACCCTTTTTTGGTTAAGTTCCATTATTGAATATTATAGGTGTATAAACTCAGCAAAATATTCTAAAAGAGTTCAGTAGCCCATAATAGCATTGGGTCTTCTGTTTAACTGGCAATGTCAGAAATTGTTGACCTGAGTCCCCCACAGCTCAACATAACAACATGGCTTTACTTCCTATATTTCATCTTCATACTTTTCTACTGGATGGTTAAGACCAAGGTATAGCAGGACCTGTGCAACAAGAGTTGTAGCTTTTGGGTCTGATAAGATCAGTGAAATCCCCTCAGGATTTATCTTGAGATCCTGTACCTCAGATTGTAGAATGGCTGATGCTTGCTTGTTTGTTGCTGAGTGTCCTGCAGCCACAGGGCGGGCAGGGATTAACCTAACCCATGCATTTCAGGTGGACTCTGCGCCTACGGCAGGGGTTCTGGCTTTATCAGAAGCAGCCAGGACTTGAGCTGCGACTTCTGCAACGATGTCCTTGCACGTGCCAAATACTTCAAGAGACACGGCTTCTAGAACCCAAGCTTGTGTCACACAAGGCCTCAACTGTTGCACAGAAAAAGCTAGCCGATGGAGCTTGCCGTTGTGAATCTGGGGTTGACCAGAGAAGGTCATCAAAATAACTATGAATCATATTAAAGGAAGAATTGTTACCTGCATTTTATGGTCTGGTGTGTGTGTATGGGGGATGAATTATGGTGTCTCTGATGGTACTTCCAAAATGTGATTTCTAATGTGGATTTCTGTGAAATGAATACTACACCTGTATAACTGCCAGATTTAGCATCATTTTTAAAAATGCTTTTTCTTTTTCTTTTTTTATTTATTGGATACAGGGTCTTGCTGTGCAGTGCAGACTTGTAGTGGTCCTCCTGTCTCAGCCTCCCTAGCACTGGGATTACAGGCGTACACCACCAAGTCAGGGTCAGGACGGCATGTGGTACTGGGGATTGAACTCAGGTCTTTGTGCTTGCCAGGCAGGCATTTAGAGCACTGAGCTATCTCCCCAGCCCACCCTCATTTTTATTCCACTGAACAGGTACAAAGAGTCAGTCACAACTGTTGATAGTGTTTCAGCTGCACAGACTTACTTAGTTACAAAGATGGTAAGGGATGGGACCATAATGCAAATATAGATGTCTTCCATTCTAAAGCTCATCTTTTAAAGATTTTATCTTTGCCAAGGTATCTAGTTGGGCAGGTATCTAGTTGGTAGCTGTGTGCATATACATTTGGGTGCTCCTGTAGAGGAGTGTCTCATTGACTGTCCTGGACAGCCTGTGCCAGGACAAGATTACAACCATTTAATTTAAAGACTGCGGTTGGGATTCTTTTCCATTCTAAAATCTGGTTACACTTGAGAAACTAAAACTTTTAAGACAGGAATCTCTGAAATGAGAGAGTTTATTGAATAGCTACAGATGCTTGTGGGACAAGGACCAGGTCCTGGGATGAGTTTCTCACCACCCAAATGAAGACTGGCTAGGAGATAGGAAATCCTAGCAGGACCACAGCTAAGCGCGTTGTTTTGTTGCTTAGTGTATGTTAGTAATACACAGTGTTGGGGATCATTTTGGGTATTTGGAACCTGCATTTAATATATCTTGATCCTTTTAAAGTCCATTACCCTCCCATCTTCTCTCTAACTCCTTTCCCTATCCCTCCTTTATTTTATTCACTTATTTATTCACTTTAGGTTCTCCCTATGAAAGACAACATGCTCTCTCTTTTTTAAAAAATGTTTTTAATGCAGGGTCTACAGGGTCTCACTACACAGATCAGACTCATAGTGATCCTCCTGTTTTCAGTCTCGCAAGTGCTGGGATCACAGGCCCTCACCACCATGCCCAGTCTCAATCGCTGCTTCAGTTTACCCTGGGGACAGGGCCAGCTGGGCTTGTGGCGCCAGGGATTGAACACTGGTCCCTGTGCTCTGCCTAAGCAGGCACTTTAGTCAGCTGAGCTATCTGGTTGGCCCAACATGCTCTATTTAACTTTCCAAGTGTGGTTTATTTCTTAGCACGGTAGTCTCGGATTCCATAGATTTTCTTGTCAATGACATGGTTTTATTCTTTTTTATGAATGAATAATATTTCATTGCATATATATATAACACTTTTTATTTAGCTATTCATCTACTGACAGGCAACAAAGCTGCTTCCAGAGTTTAGCTACTACACCACTATCAACGTGTGTGTGTGTGTGTGTGTGTGTGTGTGTGTGTGTGACTATAGTAGATTGTCCTGAATTCTTTTGAGAATGTACCTAAAGAGGTACAGTTGACCAAGTGGTACTTCTGTTTTTGTGTTTTTAGTTTTGGAGAACTCTCCATACTGGTTTGCATAGTAGTTATACTGGCTGGGGTGGGGGTGTCTGAAAGCAGTTTTGATTGGTAGTTCCTTAATGGCTAAAGCTGTGACTGGTATCTATTTTATAATAGTGTCAACCATACTCTTAAGTTTTTATTCTTCTGCTGAGTTAAGCTTCTATTCCCTCTTACCCCACCTATTTGCCTTAAGTCTCCTGCTAGGTCTGGGGGTGGAACCTTCCTCTGTTGCCTAGATACCTGCTGATGTCAAGAGCCAAGAATTCTTCATTCCTACACCTTTTATATACCCAGCACCTCCCCTAAATAAACGAGACTTGATCAGAACTTGTCTTGTCTCCATTTCTTGTGTCTCCTGTCCCTTCTTATCCCCACTCCTCCTCTAGGGTCCTCGCTGACTAACCCGCGGGTCGGGACATAAAGCTATTGAGCATTTTTCACATACTTATTGCCTATTTGTACTTCTTTTGAAAAGTTCAGTTCATTTGACCATCTTTTATTGGGTTACTTGTTTGGGGGCTTTTAATTTTGTTTTGTTTTGTTTTGTTTTTTGAGCCTGGGTCTTGCTATGCAGCCCAGCTTGACCTCGAACTTACAGTGATTATCCTGCCAACTTCCTGAGTGCTGGGATTGCAGGTATGCACTACTACAGTTGGTTGGGGTGGTGCGTATTTTTTAAGTTCTTTAGATATTTCAGATATTGGTCCCCTAGCCAACAAATAGGTAATGATTTTTTTTTCCCAGTCTACAGGTCATTTCTGCACTCTGATTTTTCCTTTATTGTACAGAATCTTTTTTTTATTTATTTTCAAAGTTTTATTGATAAACAGATAGCAATGAGACAGTTTCAAATCAAATAGGAAGTACAGTTTCAACAAATAATACACTGCATATATTCTTCTTAGTGGTTAATTGCTGTACAAGAAGTGGACTTGTGATCCTATACTTTCAGGGATCATTTCTATAGTATGTAAAGAATCTTTTTAATTTGATCCAATCCCATTTGTTGATTCTTTATGTTATTTTTGTGTGTGTGTGAAGTTGGGAGTCCTGAAGTCTTTCCCTGTGCCTCTGGCTTTAAGTGTTTCCTCTATGTTGTATTCCAACAGTTTTCATTCATCTGTAAGTCGGCAGCCAATTTTCCCAGAACCTCTTGTTAAAGAGGCTTTCTTCCCAAGAGCATTTTTAAATTTTTTAAAAATGTATTTAGTACAGGATCTCACTGTACAGCTCAGACTCATAGTGGTTCTCCTGTTTGAGCCTTCCCACCATTGAGATTACAGGTGTGTGCCACCTCACCTGTCTTGGTGGCCAGGGATCAAGTCTGAGTCCTTATGCTTGCTTAGGCAGGCGCTTAGATCGCTGAGTTCTCTCCACAGCCCCTTTTTGTTTTGTTTTGCTTTGGTGTTTTTGAGACAGGGTCTCGCTTTATAGTTGAGCTCAGCATTGAACTTACTATGAAACCTAGGCTGGCCTCAAACTCATGGCCATTCTTCTGCCTCAGCCTCCCGAGTGCTGGGGTTATAGGTGTGCACCGTCACACCTAGCTCCCCAGAGCATTTTTATAGCAAAAAAAAAAAAAAAAAAAAAATGGTGAAGAAAAGCTTAAATCATTTGCACTGAACCCACACTGGCTATGAATAAGAGGGGCAGGACAGCAAAAGAAAGTCTTGGGCTAGGAAGACAGTGCCAAAGGAACAGTAGGTGTTGCTTCTACATTGGTGGGGATAGCAGATCGGAGGCTTACATGTAATAGAGCAGGAGGGCAGCTGAGGTCTACTGGGATGGGATCGACCGCAAGGCCTCACAGCTCCTGCTTAACTTCCCAGATCTCTTCTCTCTTCTATCTTCTAATCCTTGTAATTAAATTTGGGACATCTCAGAATTCGTATTCATATTCTCTCTCTCTCTCTCTCTCTCTCTCTCTCTCTCTCTCTCTCTCTTCCTTCTTGCAGTGCTGGGGATCACACCCAGTTTCTTGTGCATACTAAGCACGTGCTCTACTGCTGGGCAAAGTCTCCATCCCTTGTTTTGTGGAGATTTATGATTGCCAGACAATACAAAGAAGGATGTTTGAATGATAATAATAAAAAGCACTAGCCAGGTGTGGTGTTGTCTGCCTGTAGTGCCAGCACCCAGGAGGCTGAGGCAGGAGGATCCCTGTGGATTTGAGCCCAGCCTTGGCTACATAAAGAGTCCAAGGCCAGCTTGGGCTACCCAGTGAGAAGGAGTCTCAAAAAGAAAAAATTTAAAAAGCACCAAACTCTGAGCTGACTTTCAGCTGGGTGCGTAGGGAATGGTGTCCCAGAGCGGGTCTGAATCACCAGTCTCTCCTGGACTGCAGCATTACCAGCACCCCACGGCTCCCTAGTGCCATCGTACTGTGCAGCTCATGTTTTCCTCGTTTTGAAGCAGTGCAGTGGGTGGACCCTGACTTAGGAACTCAGGCCCTTCTCAAGCACAGGTGTGACTCCCGCAGGACGTAAGCCAAGACCGTTTCTCCCTAAGAAATCAGGAAATACCCATAATGCATCCTGAATCTCCCAGAGAACCCCTGAACTAGTCTTTTCATAATAAAAAAGGTAGCGTAGTGTGTGTAATTTACCAGGAACACCAATAGTTTTCGTAGCGTAGTCACCAAAAAGTTATAAAATGTGTCTGGTTTACCAGGGACAACAGTTTGACACCATATTTCCCATTCAACTTGACAGCTTTGGCTTGCCGGACGGGAGGACGAAATGGAAGCTGGTATTGTTCGGAGGGAGGGCCCCCTTCCATGAGAACATCAGGAATGTGGCTCTCTGGGGTCCTGTCCTTGGCAGAGCCTGTGGCCCACTGGGCCCTGCTGCTGGCTCACTAGGTCTCAACCTTTTCAGAACTAAAAGCTAGTCTAAGGCCGTCTGTTTGTGCTGTCCCTTGAACACTTCCTTAGCTTCTTTTCTACCTTTTTTGGGGCCATTTGCGAGCAGTGATCGTAGCTGTCATATAAAGCACCGACCCCAGTCATGCCCGCAGACGCTTGCCTCTGGGCTCAGGCCGATGCTTACTTTTCTGGCACCACGAGCTGCTTACAACCCACAAGCGGCTGGCATTCAGGTCATAACTCGAGACTTGGGCTGTAAGTTAAATCTAAAATTCCAACCCTAGCCCAAGTTGTTCATGGGTCAGACTGCTCAGGACTCAAGGGTGCACTCATGGTGATAAATTAGGCTCCATACATTTTATTTTTACCAACAATATATGAGTATTTTCTCCATAGTCTAAGATAGAAGGTCTTTTAAAGCTTTTTCATTAATCTGATATTAGTAAAAGTGGTACCTAGTATAATTTTTT